AGCGGTTCAAAGGCCTGTCCCATCTGGGTTAGTTTCCTCATCCCTCTGTGCCAAGACAGCTACCATTTTACACAGGGAGATGAAGCAAGACCACCGTTGATATGCCATGTTCTCAGCCACACAGGGCAACAAGCTCTCCCTTTCTTCCTCTCTAGGTTTGCTAAGAACTGCTCCAGCCACATGGCTGCTGCAGAGCCCTTATGGAAGAGGATCAGCAGCCTGGACAAGGCTCTGCACCATTTTCACCTGCCCAGAGATGATGTGCCAGAGCCTAGATGATGGCTGGCTTGGCATCCTTACCTGCTCTGCGTCTGGCAGCTTGCCACTCTCCAAGATCCTCTTCCCACTGGCATCTTCCGAGCTCAGCACCTGGATGTCCAAGCAGGACACCCCAGTATCCTGATCTTTGCCTGACCCTTCTGCACCTTCTTTTTCTTGCTCAGATAACTTGGAGTCCTCAAGGGCCTTCAGTTTTTCCAGGCGCTCTTTCTCCAGGCGCTCCTTCTCCAACCGTTCCTTCTCCAGCCGCTCCTGACGCTCCTTCTCTCTGTCCTTCCGGCTCCTGCGGCTGGATGAAGGATGGCGCTGCTCTTCTACCTCATGCTGGACCTCCTCTTGGTTCAGAGGGGAAAGCAGGATACCCTTAACCCGGTTCCAGAATGACAAAATATGAGTGATGTCCTTCTGTGAGGCCTCATAGAGCTTAAACCTCAGGGCCAAGCTCTTCTCTTTGTCACTGAGAGCCTCTTTTTCAGTTTCGTCCTGTTCTGGGTCTGCAGGTGACACAACCACCACTGGGGAGGCATCTAGCAGACCAAACTTGTTCCGCTTTTTCTTATCTTCCTTGTTGACTGGAACAGAGTCTGGGTGCTCCTTTGCAGACCCCCTCCTGTCATCCCCTTCGTTCAGCTTGATATCTGAGCTGGTGGAGGTGCTCATACCCTGGGAAGGAAGAGCGAGGAAAGGAAGTAAGCATTTCAAAGCACTAACTCAGGCACCGTGGGATGGTGATGATCTCTGCTATAGTGTCCCAGAGCCTCAGGTGAGGACTGTGCTATATGCTGAACACATCCTGATTCAGAACGCAGTCCAGTTTACCTCAGCTGAAACCAAACTTTCCCACAGCCAGATTGATGAGGAGTCCTGCAAACCAGCTGAAAAACAGAAGAGCTTTCCCAAACCAAACATGGAACTTAAGACAACTCCTGTTCCTAGGTAGGACTCTGGGCTCATTTCTGGAGTGCTGAGCATCCCTGTGGCTGGCTGACACTTTGGAAAGTCTAGCTGCTAACGAATACCCAGGCCTGGCAGTATCTCCTGCCAGACCCATAGGAAATAAACACCATGTCCCAGACAGATCATGCCCCAGAGATGTAAGCCACTTGCATGTGGAGTGGGGAAAAAGGTCAACTAACTTGCCAGGACTAAAACTATCCAGGGCTTGAAGATGAATGTATGGAATTACGTGTCATGACTCAAAGCCAGCATGATCCCAGAAGAGAGCTCTGCTACAAAGATGGGGGAAAACACCCTCAGTGAAGAAGCAGCACTAACACCAGCTGCTGTTCCCCTGCAGTCCCACATCTTGCTCACTGCCAGGGCCCAGCACTGTGTGTGACTGCTTGCAAGCGACTGGGCTGTTGGCTTTTTGTGGAATGGGGCAACTCAGTGGTGAGGTCCCAAGGACTGTTACTCATCTCTATAAACATAACCACCCACCTGCCTGACTCCAAACTGGCTTTTCCTCCCCGAGGTATTGTCTTTTTCTTTTCCAAGATCTTTCTTCCACCGCTTAGCCTTCTTCTTCAGCTCTTCTTCCTCCTTCAGGCGTTCTAGTTCCTGCTGGTGCTTCTTTTCCTCAAGCTCTCGAGCCAGCTTCTCCATCTCCCTTCAGCAAGTCAAACAGAAAATATCCCTGAGAGTCACCACTGGGAAATCTAGACTCGTTCAAATGCCAGCTGGTTATGGGCTTCGTTCATTGACCCTGCAGCCAGGGAAAACTGTTAGATCACCTCAATGGACTTCCCACAACCTGGGGAGGTTGAGTACAGCCAAACTGAGGCACCTCCGGGGTCAGCAAGTCCCAGCCTTGCTGTCATAAGCTCTAAATTTTGCACCTCCTCTGATAAGGTTGTGCAGGTCCACCTGGACACCTCCAGCGCACTGCCAAAGACCAAGTCACCATCTGCACTGCTGGCTGAAGCCCTCTCTTGATTCCCAGTCTTACACCAGCTCACAAAGCACTAACAACTACTTATCCTGGCACCAGTACGTAGTTGGTTTATCCAGCCCTTCTCCTTGGGCATAGCCTGCTCCTTGGTGAGAATAATCATATCACTTCAGCCTTAGTTTTCCAATTTATTTCACTCATTCAAAACAGGCTCTGAACAACCAGGTTTCCTGCCAGCACTCAGCTGTTAATGCTGAAAGCTTGTGCTCTCTGTCCTGGAAGTCACGGCAATTTGAAGTAGCCCTAGTGATCTCCTTCAGCTTTGACTGAAAGAAGTGCTGAAACAGATAATCATGTAAGCAGGTCCCTGTGTTCCCCCTAATTTTGGTGAGGAGGAACAATTCAGAGGAACAATACAGGCTTACACTTGCCATATACACCCTCCTGCATATGGCTGCTTTGCTGAGTGAGAGCCTCTCCCATCCTCACCTTTGGCTACAGGTATGTTTTACGGCTGGCGTTACTCACTAAGGACAACCCCATGAGACCAGTATTGCAAGGACTTAACCTAGGGCAGGACTCGTATCCAAACTGAGCCAGTACAGCAGCGCCTCACAGGGACCCATACCAGGATCCCTTTTGTTAGGGGAAGAAGGAGAGATGGGGAGTCAACATAATTGACTTAGAGACGTCCAGCAGCAAGGCAAGCACAATGCCCAGCTCTCTGAAGCCAGTGTCTAAGGCAGAGGGCTTTCGGCTACACCAAAGAGATGTTTCACATCTCACTGGAGGAAGCCCTTCCCTCTGTCAGGAACCAGTGAGGTGGAACAGACCTTCCTTGTGCCATCTGTGAGAGAGGTTTTTGGCCTTCCCTCCACACCCCCTCTGAGTCCACCCAAGGTCTCTGGCAGACTGGCTGTAACCAGCATAGCACAAGGAAGGGAAGAGGGGAGCAGGCCTATGCTTGGGGCTCCTGTGCGGAGACAGGAACGAGTGCTGGGAAGTTACAGAAGGGTCACAGACCTCTTTTTCCTCTCACGCAGAACATGTCGCAGCTCATTATCAAACTGACTTTTCTGCTCCTCGGTAAGGGCATCGTATGCTTCCTCATCCATGTCCTGGAGACGGGCCTTCTCCCTCATGGCAGCTTCCTGTTGCTCCCGTTCTTCAACACAGACCAGAGGAGAAATCATCAGTAACAGCAGCCAGAGCTTACTGTTCTGGGTGGGCTGAGGATTCACAACTTCTGCCCAGCCCCAGCTCGTCATCCACCCGTAACCCTGCTCTGATTACTGAATCCAAAGTTCAGTTAATCCCCCAAGCTGTTTCCAGGCAGTAGGTTCCTGTGCCTTGTCTGACTCATGTGCAGAGCCCGGAGACCATGGGACCCGCCTTGCTCCGTGGACTCACCTGGACCAGCACCGTGGCACAGCTGGCCTGTGGCTAGGTATTAAGCCACAATAGTTTGCACTTGTGCCCGACCTTTAAAATTAGAGACTATGAGATAAGTCTTACAGCCTCAGGTCTAATGCATTCTGCACACTGTGAAGCTATATTTTAAGCAGCCATTGAAGGATGGCTATGCTGAGGCAGAAAGTTGAATTACAAAAAAAATTTCTTAAGATCTCTACTGGTAATGTCCAGATAGACACATGGATAAGGTTGATGGCTTGAAAGAGAACGTTTGAGAGGTACTGAGAGGAAGAGTCCCACCTTCCTGCTCTTTTTTGGCCTTCTCCTTGGCTTTCATGGTAGCATAATCCTGGAATAGGTTCACAAAATAGATGTAAGGCCGATTGTTGATAGCTTTGAGCAGGCAGAGGAGAGCAGAAGGCATGTTGTGTGCAAAGAGGGTCTCCAGGCCATCAAACACCACTCCCTGGTAGCAGTCACTCAGCTGTGAATGAGGTCAAAAAGGAAGAGAAAGTCAACAATAGTGCATGTGTGCAGCTTTCAGCTAGCCAACAAAACCAAATGTCAAAGGACATGAGCCGTCATTGTCCCAACTGTACCAGCTCTGACCTTTCCCTGCATGCTACCAACTTACAGCACAGTCTGAGGATCGGTGCAGCACAACTCCCTTCATCCATGGCTCCCTGCACTCAGCCCAGGACTCCCACTGCCAGCGAATACAGACCTTTTCTCTCTGTGCCTTGCTGTCCTGCCTTGTCTCTCTATAGCAGGAACATGTTTATACCAACCACCCTGACTTAGATGGCAGACCAGGTGAGACCTGCCATACCTGCATCCTCTCCGAGAGGATGGTCACCAGCAGGTCCTCAGGAAGCACACAGGTCCTAGCAGCCATCTCTCCTGCTATGCTGGCATTGGGGCTGGGTGAGGCCTGCAACAATTATCACAATAAAAATAAAATACTTTTGAGAACCCCAAACAATCCCAGCTGCTGTGTCTTCTGGCCTTGGAGCTGGTATCTCTTGCTAGTGAGAGAGACCTGCTAGAGGCAAAACTGCGTGCCAGCAGCTCCAGGAGGGCACATCCCTGGACGAACGTGGACAGAGGGCACTCAGGCTGGGGACTGCCCTCACTCTGAACAGCCTCTTCACTTCTCAGTGCAGTTCAAACGCAACTGAAATCTCCCATGGATTTACCAATGCAGACCCCTTTTTGCATGTGAGCCAACCTGATCCGTTTGGAGCTGCTTTTGGGGCTGGGGTATGTGGCCCTCTGTCTTCCCCTTGCCCCCTCCCAGGCTCCCCGGGCCTCGGGCAGCGAAGGGCTGCAGGCTGGTTTTGCCATTGGAGCTGCACGAACTGCTGTTGGGGCTGCGCCTGGCCTCTGCGCCGAGTGGCAAGCTGCAGAGATCTGCACGTTGACCTGCAGAGGAGATGATAGAGCAGTTAGGAGGGTGGTGATGGGTGCTGCAGGTGGGCGCTTCAGGATAAAACCTGGAGTGAGCAGGCATGTTTCTCCACGGCTTTGCCTGCTCATATCCCAACCCAGGACCCTCGCAGAGACACAGCGAGTGCATCCTCAGTGTCTGTTCCTGGTGGGAGGAAGGTCTGCCAGGCACTAGCTGGCTGCCAGCATCAGGGACTGTGTAGAGATTAGCCCCTGAAGCTTTCCAGAAGAAGCTCCCAGCCTGCTTCCATTTTTTTCAGCACGATGAAATACACCACTGGATACTGAGTTGTAAAGCCAGAGACTTTTTAATGCTCCCTCAATCATGAGATCAGAGTTACAAAAGCCAGTGTGAGCAGGGAAACAGCAATGGAGAGGGAATACACACATGCTTATTTGTAAGGCAGTCATCGCCCTTGCCTGGAAACCGTAAATCAAAAGGAAATAAACCTTACTGGCTGGCCAGGGATCTGAAAAGGGCCTCACCCTGCAGGGCTTGGAGCAGCAACTGCTCACTAAAAGTCACTAGGCTCATGAGGAAAACAGCATAAGACTCATGAGCCGCATGACCCGGAGAGCATATATAGGAGCACTGCGGAAAATCTCCGGAGATGGGGAAAATAATTGATCTGCGCTTTTAAACTATATGTCTCTCATCTGAAACTCCTCAGAGAGGTTATTCTTCGTTTCCTCTGATGTTTGTGAAACGACAAGGTCGGTCATCTAGCGCTTAATGAGCCACTTCAGAGGGGTTTTCCTTGTTAAAATGGGCAGCATTTCTGCCTGATGGCCATGAGAAGCAGACTGGCTTTAGCCCTGAGGAAATACAAAAATCCCTGAGAAAAAAATAGGTGTGCTTCACTGCTCTTCAGAAAAGGAAAACAGGCCAAATGCTGCATGAAATTAGGGGCAGGAAAAGGTGCCCCTATACAAGTCCCTAAAATAAGAGAGTTATTTTATTACCAGAGATAGTTTATGAAATGGCTTTGCATGTTTGCAGACACTGCACCACTGTTCCCCAGGACAGGCAGGAGCTGTCAAAAGCTCCTTCTCCTTATGGGGAGAAAATGGAAAAAGTGGATGATCAGTGAAACACTGGGCTGAAGGCTTACCAGCATCCTCTGTGTCCTTGTGGGCCTGACCTACTGCAGCCCTGAAATACAGCTCCCGTGCGTTGAGCCCTGCCAAAGTGGTCCTCTCAGAGATGGCTTCTTTCACCACCGAGTCGATGGACAAGCAGGCAGCACCATAGTATTTAGACAGGGCAACTGCTGCTGACGTCTTTCCTTTAGAGAGAGGAACACTGCTTGGGGACACTTGTACATGAGGCATTTTCATGTACATACACTCGGAGAGGTGCTCTGAAAGGCCTCGGAAGAGGATTTCAAAGTTTCAAGGGTAGTCAGAAAGCAATTGCCACTTTAGGAGAAATCAACAGGGAGGTGGCTAGAAACATCATTCTCCAGAGACATGTGGACCATCTCCAACTCATGTTCAGCTACTGCGACCTGAGGACATTATCACTTGGGGTTACCTCAATCCTGGGCCAGGGCCTGATTTCAAGCCCTATCCCAAAGTCACCCAGAAAGTTTACTAGCCTGCACCAATTGGCACTTTCTCGGGCAATGCCTGGGCATTGTTTGGGGGCCAGTACAGGCTAGGGACTGCTCCCAGTAGGCAGTTTGGACATGACCACCCTGTCTGGAGGAATGAGAGCTTAGCTGCATGGGCACAAGATCTGCTGTGCCACTTGCGCTGGCTAGACAAAGGCCTGCGACCTTTTAATGGACTAGCAGAGCTGTGGTCTACCTCACTTCATGCTGAAAGAAGTCAATCAAGTGCCAGGGCCCACCAGGATGTCTCTTGCCCTGTCCCCTTTCTCGCAGCTGAGGGCTACAGCCCACACACCTGTCAGGGGCGCCCCGTGGATGATGACGACGATCCCTCTGCGGTTTCGGGCCGCACGGCCTTCTGGAGAGATATCGATGCCAAGGTGGCGAGCAATGGCTCTTGTGACAGGGCTGTTGTCTAATTCTCCCACGGCCTCCTTGCTACTGGAGTGTTTTTGCTGATCCTCCGCTACAGAGAACCAAGTGTAAAAATGAGCCTCCTACATACCAGTGATTCTGATCATCTTTCCCATCCCCTCAGATCCTGGGGAAGTAACTGGGGAGAGGAGACTCTGCCAAAATCAGTGTCACACAAAGGACCTCCCTCTGCCGTTTCCTTAGGCTTATACAGATCAGGGTCTGCCCTAAATACTGTCAAAGATTCCTGTGCTGGCTGTTGAAGTGTAGTAAATGGGGCAGCCAGAAGGGGAAAGAACAGGCACCCAGCAATACCTAAAAGGACTGGACCAAATCTCTTTCTACAAACTGGTGCATTGTCCTCATGTGAGTTTTGGCTTGGGACCTGCTGAGTAAGTGGGGGACATGCAGAACCAGGCATTTTAAGCAGTCACAAAGGAGAGGCTCTGTTTAGGGGACCAAGTGTTTCTCCTATCAGGGCAGGCAGGCACTGGGGACTTCTCCCAGCACAAAGCAGCTCTCCTCCTGCAGGGCTCCTTTGCCATAGAGCTGGATGCTTCAGCACCAGGAGATCTGACTGTGCTTTTATTTTACAATCAACAGCATGTGCAAAGAGCTCTTAGGAGGCCACTGAAAGGCATCTCGGTTTGCAGTATCATATAGGACAGAGAAAGCGCTGCCCTGCCTAGGACAAGGTCACTCTGAGCCCTTTATTGCCCAGCAGGGCAGAGGTGCTCATTTGGCAAATCTGAGGAAATCCCCCCCTTGCCTCCCACTTGTTCCTGCTTCAGACCCTTCCCAGAATCCTACATGGCCTTCAGATGCAAGAGAGGATTCAGGGTCACAAGAGCAAAGATGACACAGAAGCAAGGCTGCAGTGAAGGGATGGAGATGACACTTGAAGTCCTCCACTGAGGTCCTTTTGCCACAATTCACTTGAAACAGGTGAAAAGCTCTGGGTTATTACCTGGCCTGCTTCTTTTCTCAACATCTTCCTCCGCCTCTTCTTCATGTTCCAATTTAAAGTCCACCTTGTTCAACTTGCTTTCATCAAAAAAGGAGGAGGGAATGATTGAGGTGTGGGATGAGACAGTACGAACAACGCCAGCAGAGTCCTTTCCTCCTTGATCTGAGAAAGACTGAATGTCTTCAGAGTTTTCTGAGGAGAGAGGACAGAGGGAGAGAAGAAGATTATGAGCGTGGCCATGCAAGGCTGCTCTTTGCCATTTGCCACTGCACAACTGCATGCAAAATATGGAACATTTCCCAATGGGAAATGGGAGACTACCAAAGTGCTCAGAAGCCTGTCCAGGCCTCAGCTGGAGGCCTCTGCCTTTGGGGGAATTTTGGTGCTGTGTTTTTGTTGCTGGGAAGGAGCAGATACAAAACATGACAGCTGGTGCTATTACACCTGATCTTACAATTGGCCAAAAAACTCAACCAGTCCTACTCTTTGTGCCTGAGAGACACAAGGGAATATTCTGATCCTTCAGAGGTTATTTTCCCAGTACACAGAGATGAGCTTGCTCTGGTGGCACTCAAGGCTGGCAGGATGCATATTACAAGCTATCGAGTTTCACCCTGGAATACTCCCATCAAGCCCAAGTGCTGAAGGCAGACAGGAGCGTGCCTTGGAGACATCAGTAGAGTTTAGCAGCATTTGCCTGGTGGGGTTTGAGAAGGCATTTTTTTTTTGCTAGTAGCATCTCTTCAGCTGGCTGCTTTTTGTGGTGTGCAATCAAGCTGCCAAAGCTGTCCTGCCACCCCAAGTGATGCTCCACCTGTAAATGCAGGGAAGTTTCTAGTGTGCATTGCCCTGTGGGTCACAGCAGTGTGAGGTACCACACTTGTATCTCCTCAGTGTGAAGTGGGGAGGTGTCTCTGCTTGAGCACCTACAGGCTCAGAGACAGACTCTGACCTTCATACAGGGGGTGCATCACATGAGTGCCTTGCAGACCCATTTTCTAGCTATGCCTCAGTGCTTCCTTCCACAGAGAAGAAGCTCATGGAGAGCTCAGGGTAGGTAGACAGCACTTTCCTCTGTGGCCATGTTCAGGACAGCCAGCACTATGCGTGTCAGCGCTCCCTCACAGGAGACACAGTGGCTGGCTCACACCCTCACCATTCTCATGACCGACTGGTTCCACAGGCTTGGACTTTGCCTGCTCGTCCTGCTGCCTCTTCTGGTCCTCATAGTACTCCAGCACCTCTGGGGGCAGCTTCTCGCCTGGAGCACGGGGCGGCAGCAGTAAGGTATTGTGGCAATCATAGTCCTTCAGCATCCGCAGGATCTGTGCATGCAGGGAAGAGAAGCCACAGATACAAGATGTGCTGCTTGATCTCCATCACATGAGAGAGCCCCCAACCAACCTATCTTCTTCCCTCTCCTTCCTTCCTTCCTTCCTTTCACCAACATGGACTATCCAAGTCCCTCTGTGTTCCGCTAGCACAGCTGGCTGACCCTGCAAGGCCACCAGGCTTTACCCTAGAGCCTGCCTCCATCTCCCTGGTGCAAGCCTGGGAACGCTGGAGCGCTGTGAAGCCAAGGGAGCCCCCAGTGGGGCGTCTCTTCTCACCAGCTCCTCAGCAAGGTACTGCTGGTCGAACTCCAAGGAGTAGAACTCAATGGGAAACTCGCACGGGTTCTTCACCACCACGGTGGCCTGCGCCCCGCTGCTGTATGGCAGCAGCGGGCCCAGCTCGAGCACTGGGGGGTTGAACTCCAGTCGTGGCTCCAGCCCACGCCCTGAGAGCTGCAGCTCGGGGTGCTGGTTGCTCTTGCAAATGTTAATCTTCAGATGGGTGCTGTAGGACCTCTGGGAAGAGAGAAATGCAAAATACTCCTCCATGAAGTCCTAGGTAACAGGGATTCAAACCCAGCCCTTACCCAATGCCAGAGGGGTTATCAGTTCCTCTGAGGTGAACAGGAAACAGATGTTCCCTTACAGCATGGGGGAGGTGGCCTGCAGCAAATAGCATCTGCATGCCGGCTCTGCGTAACTGGGATCAAGCCTGGTGTGAAGTGTAGCTGGATACCTGCGTAACAGATGGATCTAAAATGGTCTATCAGATGATTTCACCAAGTCTGGAGTGAGTGCAACGTGGCACCCAAGAGAAAGGTCCTCAGGAGGTGGGCTCAGCTCCCAAATGGCTCAGGGGCTGCTTCACCTCATCCCTAGAGACATGTTGCCTAGACACAGGGTTGGCACTGCTGTATCAGGCAAACATCAGCTGTAAGATACAGGCAGATGAGCTCACACTGGCTAGAAACAAGGATCTTCCACTCTACTCCTGGCTCTGGTCAAAGCCAGAGACCTCTCTACTAGCACCTCTCTACTAGTAATTGAAACATTACTGGGACTGTTCCCTGGTGTAGCAGTACCTGTGTCCACGCTATCACACACTAACTTTCCATACCACAGTGGCCATGTGGAAAGCGTCTTTTGGGAATGGTCCCTTTCTTGTGCTGACTCCCAAACTGGGCCTGGGAGTGCCTGGGAAAGTGTAAGCTGGCCTGGGCCAGGACAAGAGGGGCTGTTCTGGCAAGGTAACAGCACAGATGACTGTACTGCAATAGAGCCTGCAGAAACGCGCCTGGATGCTGTTTTGTCTACTCGTACCAGCAGCGGGGCTCGCCCAGATCAGCCCTTCCACGTTTATGACCTGAGCGTGTGCCAGCTGGTTTGCACAAGCACATTGCAACCTGCAGATATACCACTGTGAGGAGGAAGGCTGCAGGAGAAAGGGGCAGATTTCCTCCACGGTCCCCTCATGCACTGAGAGGTAGCCATAATTGCAGTGTCTTGCAGCTCTCGGTGCAAGTTCCCCAATGAGATTTCAAAGCACTTCTCAGAAGAGAGTGCAGTGGGGAAACTGTGGCATAGTGGGTATGGGACACTGACTTGCCCAGAGCCGCATGTGGAGGCAATGACAGCAGTGGACCCAGACCTCATCTTCTGCTGCCTGCACTGGGCTCTCGTGACCACACTGCCCTTCCTGTTCTCTGAGAGACATCCACCAGCCTCACCTCTTCACTGGGTGAAAACCTCACTTGGAGGTTGCATCGCTGTCCTGGAGTGAGGTTTCCAGATGAGGGCAGCACCTGGAAGACGGGGGTCTTGGTCTTTAATTCCTGATGCAGCTTCCGACGCAGGTTCGCCGGCAAATGTTTGTCCACCTGAGTACACAAATCCATCCTGTGAGACCTCCTTGGTCTACAAGGACAGACCCTCAGTCACAGGAACAGTGCTCAGAGCCCACACATTCAAACCAGCCATAGCCACTGCTTGCCTAGAAGCGGAAGCAGAACATGTTAACAGCACAGGCCAGTCAGGCAGACTGGGAGGCACTCTTCTCGGTTAAGTAGGAATGGGGGGGAAGACTGCAGAGGAGTCAAGCATTAGTTAGCATACAGGTCCAGGCAATCCAGCTGAGCTTTGTATCCTAAACCGCTTCCTCATGCAAGCTCTAGCCCAAGCACTCAGGTAGCAATGGGGCAGAAAAGGCAAGAGAGGTGAAGGAAATGCAACCAAGAAGTTATGTGTTGTCTTTGCTTTACCTTCTTAACGTGCTCATTCGTGCTGATGAACCATTTACAGGCGATCTGGAGCTGATTGTGGAGCTGGATGGTTTCTTCTTGACACTGCCCACACTGGACAGCGGAGAACTCCAGTTTGTCACGGGAGAGGCAAAGGGATGGCACGGCCACCATGGCACGAAGGCATATGTGAAACGTAGGTCCTCCTGTTACCTAGTGGACAACAGAGCAACCAGCTGAGAGCCCAGGTGAGATCTGCTGCCATGTCTGACCTGCCATCCACCCTGAAATACAGTGCAGGTGCAGGAGGGCAAGGGAACATGCGGTACCTTGATAGGCAGGAGCGCTTTCACCTCTCCCAGGGGCAGGTTGGCGCTTTGTGAATCAAAGTGCACTGCGAACATTTCAGTCTCACAGAACGGCAGCTGCTTCACATGGTGCAGTCCGACACTGAAACCTTGAATAGACGAAAGCAAAGCAGCTGAGCCACATGACCAACACAAAATGTGTCACAAACAGTCTAAGGCCAGAGAGGGGTCCTGGCCTTTAGAGAGGAGATGGCCAGAGGCTCTGTAAAGGAGACCTTTGTCTCTTTGGTTTTTCCCTTGTCACCTGATGTCTACCACACAAGGAGAATGGGTTTTTCTCAGTCAGAAACCAAGGCCCAGAGGAGACAAAAAGAAACAGATCAGTTGAGGCGCACCAGCAATTCCTGCACCAGGCATCCCAGGTCCAGGGGAAGGATGCACAGATCTTCCCAAAGGAGAACTTCTAACAGAGATTCCCTGATGCAGTAGTGTTACTGGGAAAATAACTTAGACGAGGCAGTTCCCTCTGGCACCTGACCCTCTGTCAGCCCCAGTGGGTCATGGTTTGATGGTACTGCAGCCTTACCTGAAGGCCTGTTTTGGAAACCCTTTTTGATATGACAGGTGACCTCACAGACTGTTTTCTCACAAAAGGACAAACAGAAGTGCTATGACATTATGAACTCTGAACCCAAGCACAGGCCTAAGAAACCTGTCAGACAGAAATAGCTCCTTCAAGGCCACGTGAGGTCTCCCAAAGACCATTACCTGTGTCACGCAGGGCCCGTCCATCTGCATGGAAGGACACGGGGAAGTGGCCGGTGTTGGTGATCCTCACGATGTGCGTGTGAACATTACCGGGAATGATGTAGCCCAAGTCCAGGATATACTCGGGCAGCTGAGCTCTGAAAGGAATAAGGAGAGTCCTTGAACCACAGACTGGCTACGTTTCCAAGTGGATGGAAGAGACAAATAAAGTGGATATTTCCATATTCACTGATGTAGAAACTCAGCTCTAGCCAATAAAACCCAAGGCCTGAATGTCTCGTAATAAGCCTTTGGTAAGTCACTGGGAATCTAGGCCCTAGGTTTTATCAGCTAGCAATGCACAAAAGCAAACTGGTTTAAAATGGCATAAGTGTGCAGGTATACTGGTCACAGCTCCTGTGCTATGAAAAGCCATTGTGGCCAAGTCCTCCAATAGAGGGGACCTCCAATGGTCTGAGTGAGACTTGCTGAGCCTGGGGCACAGCCAAAGTCTGAAACTGCTTCAGTACATTGTGAGAACATTTGCCCCCCCAGAGGAAAGCTACTCTGTTCTACAACCACATTTCTCCACAAACAAGCACCTGTAAACACAGTTATCAACACCTACAAGATCCACGGGAAGGTCCTTTTCCAGAGCAGTCCCAATTAGGAAAACATATGAATCGTGTTTTGGAACCTCTTCTTCCAGAATTGGGGCCTACTGAAGATGCCCTTGCCTCATCATGCAGGAGTAATGGGAAGGACCAAATGCAGTCCCACCAGTATCCAAGCCACTTGGCTTAGGGCTTGCCAAGCCAATTTCTGCATGATTCCCAGCTCTTTTGGCTTACTGTGGTCTGTTTCTCTGCTGGGAAAAGAAGCCCCTTTCACAGCTGGTAAGTAGTGATGGTGCCCACACTGTCTGGTTGGGATTGATGGTCTGCACTGGACCCCACCACAACTCCAAGAACAGAGCCTGTCATCTGCAAGGTGCTGAGCACCCCCAAAGCTCAAGGGTAGCACTGTGGAGGTGAGGACACTCAGCAGCTCCCAAGGGAGTATGTCAAAGCTCTTAGGATCAGACCACTTCTGAAGTCCCCAGCTATTCCCAGCCAGCTCTGTAGACATAAGGAGCTCTCAAGAGCAGAGGTGCAGCACTAGGTGTTACTCCAGAGGCAGCTGGAGGTAAAGTATGGGAGCTCCCACTAACTTGACGAGCCTCTGACGAGCACGTTGGCCAAAGGCAGGATCCTCTGTGGGACAGGAGGTAAAAGCTTTCTGCACCTTCAGGGCATGTTCCTCTATGAGCGCCCGCTCCATTTCCATCAGCAGCCATGTGTTAAACTGAGGAAAGCAAAGACAGTGGCTGGTTAGTGATGATCCTTCCGAATGCACGGGCTTGCCTGTGAAAGAAGATCCCACCCCATTCTTGCTGAGATTGGTGATGGGGGTCCTCCAGTCTCACTGCACCGTGCCTGCAGCACCTCCTGTTCCCTCAGCCGGAGCCTTATCTCAAGGGAAATGAACTCCAGCATCTTTGCCTGCCCAGTCACTATTATGAAAGCTGATCCAGGCAAATACGCAGGCCAGGAAACTTCTAGGCCTCCAAGTACTTGCATGTCCCCAGTGAGTGCCAAAGCAGCCTGGACAAAAGCTCACTCTAAAGGAAAACCCTGATAAAGCTGGCACCTCCTGGAGATGAACATCCACAGATGAACATCCACAGCACAGTCCCAGAACAGAGTCAGGCAGCTGGGTGGAAATCTGTTCACCTGCTTGTGGCCAGTGATGAGCTTCCTCCAGCAGTACAGGATCTCATCTAATCTAATGCAATGGGACTGTGTTTTAAATGCTCTCTTACGTTCAAATAAAGAATGCACTGAGAAGAGAAGGATCTGCAAACTGGCCGGCAATCCTGCAGTGTCCTGGCTAACCAGGAGCAGGGGAAAGCAGGGAGGCAGAGAGATGCTGCCACTGGGGTGCTTGCCGGGAATGTAAGTCCCACCCTGAACAGCTTTTCACTTCACAAGAGACAGTGAGGAGTAGCTCGGTGGGGACGTGGGACACTCTGCTGAGGGCACCAGGGAAAGTGCTCCAATTCCACAGTGAGGCAGATACTCTCAGACTAATAGCTACTACTAGATTGCAAAAACCTGTCAGGGTTTGGGTTGTGAGCAACCAATATACCAGCAATAACTTGTTTTTCCATCACAAAGTATCATGTATTCAATGACACAAGTATGGCCTTCAGGATCTCTCCCCGCATTCTTCAGGAAGCTTGTGCATCTACGGCAAGGACTGCTCACAGGCCAGGAACTACCCATGAGAGGATGATGTGCTGCAGCATGATCTCAGCCCAGCACCAGCAGGGCATAAGCTAGCCTGCTGCAGGGTGCGAGGGGCACAGCCGAAGCAGCAGGAGGTTAGCACGTGCCAAACAGAGCACCAGCTGTTCTCACCATGGAGTCTGAGTCATCTGTGTGCGGCTCCACAGCCGTGGCCTCCCCCAGAAGGACTGCTTCCTCTCTCCGATTGTCTTTTTCCAATTTTTCTTTTGCCTCCTTGAGGAGCTTCTCATATTTTTTATTTCCTAAAGGGAGACATGCAAAAACACAAGTGTGCAAATAGCACTGATTCCACTTAATCTGGGAAGCCCCACTCAGCCTGATGTTGTCCTCTCGCACTCACATGCTCTGCAGGAAAGCTACAGAAGGTTGATGCGTCCTCTCCTCTCTGGATCATGGTGGTCACTGCCATCCATTTTCCTCCCCAAACAGATACATCTCATCCCCTCCAATCTGATACAACTCTGTCCCTGCCAAAATCCCTACCACCTTCTCACAGCTTTCCCAAGCATTTCTGTCCAGCTACAGTCTTTCCAGGCCTCTGTCAGATAACGTTAGCAAGCTCTGCAGCAGGGTTCTTGGGGCACCAGCCATCTGCTAGAGGCTCAAGAAGCAACCAGAAGGCTGAGTGTTGGTCTGACAGTCCAAAAACCTCCAGACTTAGTGGAGGTAGGTGTGCAGCTGCCCTATGGCATGGGAGAAAAACAGGGAACCCTTCTGGGGAGCAGATGGGCAGCACTTACCTTTGATGTTTCTTGGCAGATCCATGCAGATCCTGGGAAAGACCCCCTCTCCTTTCAGGGAGATTTCTTCTGGCTCAAGGTGACCCACTTGGATCCGGAAAGTCCTGTAGAAGTCTCCAGGCACTCCAGGCAGGTAATAGACTTTCAGTATTTGTTCCTTGCCAGACCCAACGTAACCCTGCAGAGTGCACGAAAAGAGGGAGGGAATGTGGTTTGATGGCTGGGTAGTCCACATGGTAGACGTGCATACTGAGAAGGGAAAGTAGATTCTCAAAGATAAGAAAATGAATAGAGTCAGACAGTGCCATCTTCTAGATTTTTTGCATCCAAAAGCTCCAACCTCTTAGGCCAGGATGCACCACCCTGAAGGGCTGTACACCCTGGGAGCTTTCAGTCTCATACTGCAGATCACCCAGAAATAACACTGGTGACTGGGGCCAGCACAATAACACTGGTCTCCTGGGCCTTCTAGGCTGGATACAGCAGATCCCAGCCTCACAACGCCCCTATTCCAGTACCCATGTTGAGGGAAAAATCACAAGAGCAGAGGAGGGATTGAGTTCCACAAGGTTATTGTGCAAAGCGACTCCCCTTGCCTTTGTAGATTCCCCTCAGGCTTGGGAAAGGGATAACTAGGAGTACGTGTTGTTCCTGCCAGAGTAGTCGGATGGATGTGTGGATGTGCACAACAGTGAGGCACAGCCAGTCATGCCGAGGGCACAGTGGGGATGGACATACTCATCGCACTTGATGCACATGTACCGCAGCAATGAGCTGTGCACGTCCTTCAGAGGAGGCGTGAAGGTGGAGTCACTTTGCACAGGCTCAGCATCAGTATAGGTCTTCTATTAAAAATGTTCACCCTCTGCCACCCAAAGCCAGACCACAAATAAATAAAGCAGCTTTTGCCAGCTGCTATAGAGGCCAAGCAAAGCGCCTGCGCCTCTGCAGGGCTGGCAGCTCCTGTCACAGCACGGCAGTGGTTCCCAGGCTGGGTAAAGGGGCCGGACGCTGTGTCTGAGCCCATATTGATAGATCACAACCAGAACGTCTCTTGCAGCGTGGCACACTTAGGGCGCGTGAGACTGAATTCGCAGTGATCTGTAAATGTATCTCTCTGGAAATGTTGGAGCAGAGCACAAATTAGGACAAGATCAAGGAGCAAAAACGTTGCAGAGACAGACACCTCCTCTCTGGGCTTCCAGAAGGGTTGTTTGAACACTGAGCTGGGCTAATGCCAGCCAGGCAGAGAGCAAATGCAAGCAGACTGCTACATTGCTATGAGTGACGGGATGCTTCCGCAGGTTTTCTCGGCTTGCATGCTGCAAGCTGGGCCAGGCAAGGCAGCCCCCTGCTCCCTTCTCCCCTCCTGCACTGCAGGAGGCTCTCCCTGGCAGGCTGCAGGGAGAAGCAGCTGAGCAGGAGCAATGCGGACACTTGGTAACTGCTCATCTCTGAAGCCATTTCTCCATGCCTCACAGCCCCCTGGAGCTGTGCGCTGTGTGTGCGCTAAATTGGGCTGGCACATAGCATCTAACCAGGCAAAGAGCTGTGGAGATCGCAGCAGGATGAGAGCGACAGCAACACACAACACAGCTGTAGGGGAAAAAAGCCCTGCCAAGCAGGCACTTGGCTGCGTTGGCTGAATGGCGGGCTGCCAGGGCTGATGCTGTTACAGCACCAACTCTGTGCGGGCCCAAACAGAGCTGTGTCTCCAAAAAGCCCACAGCCAGAGGGCATCAGCGTCTCATCCACTAAAGGAGACGGGCATCAGTGAACTCAGGAGTGAAAGCAATTTGACTTCCTATTGCAAAAAGGGACACGGATAGGGAATGCTGCTCCAGCACAAAGGTATCTGTGCAGCACCAAGTTGCTGGGGAAGGGAGAGACGCTCTCTGGGCTCTCAGGGCTCTCAGGGCTGCTCCAGCGCACAGAGCCGCACACTCTGCTCCCCATGGCGGTGGGATGCTGCAAACTCCTTTCCTTGCTATTTAAGTCCCATTCCTCCTTGGCCACCTCACTTGCCGTAAGGTCGGAAAAGCGAGAAGTGAATCAGACGGCGCTGATTTCTGCTGCCTTGAGATAGTATGCAAGGGGGAAACTGCACCTAGGGAGTGTGCCAGGGAGCATGCCTTTGAGCAAAACTCCTGCCCTGGGGTCCCACACCAGCCATGACTGGTGTAGAGCTCTAATGCAGGGTATCAGCTGCGGTATGATGCTACCAACATGCAGGGGGGGAAGACAGAGTCAGGCCTTGAAAGAAAGGCTCCTGCTCAGCATGTCAGAACCACCACTGAAGTCTCAGCTGCCACAGTTTGGTATGTGCAGGGGCAAGGAGTAAATCCTGTCTGATCGCACTCCTGGGTAAGGTGACCCTGAGAAGAGCCTGCACCTTCTGGTTCCAGTGTCAGCACAAACAGAGAGCTCAGCAGCCAGGGCCCAAAGAGCTACCAAAGCACTTGTGCCTCCTGCTGTTTGCTGTTATATGATAGCAGAGCCACCCACTGCTCTGAGTCCATTAAGAGAGTCTACTACGGACAGCGCTCGCTTGACCTTCTCTGCCCTCTCGGCCACAATTGCTTGCATCCTCTCTTTCCTGGTTGGTTTTATAACCCCTCTCCCGGGCAGCACAGTGCTCTCCCACCACCTTAAGGGCCAGGCTTAATCACTCGGGCTGCCTTCATACTCACTGTAGCAGGCACAACCAGGGGCACGCCAGGCAGAGGGTTGTCTGCAGAGGCCATGCTGAGGTTCAGCACCATGTACTTGAATCCCACCTTCCCGCTGTTCTGCAGGGTGAGCTTCACTTCAGAGACTTCGTTAAACAGCTGGGGAGAAGATGGAGGAGTGGGAAGTTGAAGACCCAGGTCTGTTGCTGGGAATCCACTCCCGCTTTCTATAGTACGCGATCAAACAAATATTTAATGCAAGTGAGAAGCAGGGAATTTAGAGCAGGTACAGGCACGGACCCTCCCAGGTAGTACGCTGTTAACCTGGGGAACCCACTGCCACAGGGCACTGCTGGGGCTAAGAGCTCCACAGAGGAACAAGCATTTATGGGAGCGCAGAGGTGCGATAGCAACTGCGTAAAGATCTGTAATAAGGAAACCAAAGAGGATACAAGCTCTCCAGCTCTAAGGTGTAATTTAAGAACTAACTGAAACACAGAGAAGCAACATTACTTCCAGTGGGAAGCTTATTCTGTAACTGGTTCCCCCAGTTCAGGGCAAGGGGTACCCAACAGTCTGGCTTCTCCTTTCTAGCAAGCAGCCTTTAACTAGCAGAGACAATCTGCTTTGCAAAGACCCTCTCAGCCTCCTGTCTGTCTGCAGCAAGCTTTGCTCCCCAGGGCTTCCTCTGGGGCTCAGACTGCTCCTCCTTTTGGGAAGTAGTCCTGCTTTGGGACCAGCCAGAGCCTCTGCAAAACCTCCACAGAAATTAAAGACAGATCAGGGCAACTGCCCCATGCAGCAATGCCAAAACCCAAGTGGCTGTTCTCCCAGTCTTTATCCTTTGACTCATTCTTAAGATGTCATTTATCTTTGGCAAAGTCACACATGCATTGTGATCCCTGGGTTCTCCTGTCACTGTCTGAAAGAAACATAAAGACGTTTCAGAAGAAAAGGCACTTGCAGACAAGTATTTGCAGAGCTTGCAGTGATAGGAGAAAGGGAGACAGACAGTGAAATACATACAGGGCAAACAGCCAGAAATATCTGTGGGGGTTTTAAGCGAAGGTAAGTAAAGCAAGGATTATTCTGGGGTTTGACTATGAGGTCTGAGTGTCCTAGGGCTAAAATTACTGAAGTCTAAGCCCAAGGGGCTTTCCAGGTTACCACCTGCCAGCTTAACCAGCAGCACTGGATGCCTGGGCAGAACGTCTGAGATCTGAGCAAGTCATTAACTGAAATGTTGCTAATGCACATTGCCATGCAATGGTAACGTAGGCTGGAAAAGAGACAGATATGCTGCCCAGCAGGGGGAGGAAACAGGTTAAGCTGCTGCAAGTGGATAGCTTTTGACTGTGCCCCTATGAAATACACTGTTCGGGCGAGAAGGCACAGCAAGAGGCAGAACGGAGCTAGAAAATGCTGACTATGTAGCAGGAAAGAGGAGAGCGCATATCACCAGCTTGGAAGAGCTATTGATCTTGCCCAGAACAACATGTGCTACTAAACCCCTCTTCTGCCTGACTGCCACTGTATGGCCTGAAGACTTTGGAAACCCTAGGACTTCCCTCATCTCGAGCAGGGCGTGCCCACGATTTTCCTAGCAAAGGCCTCTGTTGGGATGCATCTGGGAGCACAGGGCTGGTGAGAGGCTCCTGACACCTCCCCAGCTATGCTGCAGCACTGATCCAGACAGCACCATTGACGAAAGGAGGACACAGAGCAAGAGGTATCAGCCTTGCTGCAACTTTCCCAATCAGTGCTTCAGCCCTCGGAAATTTCCTCCAGCTTCAGTGACCGGGAAGCCTAAGATAACTTCTTTACAGATTTATTTTGGTCATTATCCAAGCCTCTGCAACCCAAACAACACATCTTTGGGCCTCACACTGAAGGAGCAGATCAGTGGATGGATGTCTTGAGGACACGTCTCTCTCAAAATCACTGCTGGGATCCTTTTTGCCCCAGAGAGCAGCAGAGTTACGCCACCTGCCTCCTACAAAGCCAGAGGAATCACACAACCTTGAAGGGTAGGAATTCCCATAGGACACTTTGGAGAGGCAGAGACAGCCATGAAAAAGAAACAGTCCGGATGCAAGGTGTGCTGTGCACAGGCTGTCCTGCCAGCAGCCAGAGGAAGGCCACGAGGAAAGCAGAGAAAGTGGTACACTGGACTGGAAACAGCCAGAAAGGGAGGAGAGTCTGAGAAATAAGTGGGGAGCAACAGGACAGAGGTGGTTTCAAGACAAGGACCTCTCCCAGGAGAAGTGCGCAATACCTGCAGCCCGCAGTCAATCTCCTTTACGTCAAACAGGTAGTTGATGAGTGAAGCCTCCCCACTCAGCGCGATCTCATAAGTCGGGCCACCCTCTACCTTGCACTGTGCCGTGACATGGGCGACAATGTTCGTGTGGCCATAGAAGGTGAACGTGACCCGCTGGCTCTCACCTGGCTGCAGAACACCATAGAGCGGCAGGATGTCAAAAACCTGGAGGCAGTGGAGGAGAGGGGAGATCGAGACGTTGAGCACCAAGATGGGTGCAGAAGAAGAGCCACCCTGCTCCTCTGACTCTTGAATGAGGCAGTGGGCTGAACGGCTTGGCTTGGAGCAATGGCCAGACACGGTTAGAGGGACGTATTCCTCAAACAGACAAAATTATCCTAATCTTTTCCTCCATCAATTCCACCCTCCAATGGAGGGACCATGGGAAAATCTTTTCCCATACTCACTAATTAATTAATGCATTTATTAATTAATACACTGCATTAAGGCAACTTGGGAGGTCTCTTGGCAGCAATAAATTCTCTCCGCTGTGGAACCTGCTTTTAGCAGCACATTTTACTGTCCTTAAGAAACATGAGACACGGATCTGACAGTCCTCGGAGCCAGGGGAGGACTCCAACCCAGTTCATTTGACCCCTGATACATCTCATTCTCTCTCTGGCTTGCATGGTGCTCTCCGGTAAGATGCTACAGCAAAATTCATTGCAGAAACTTCCTATTTACCGCTTGCTTAATAACAACAGGATTAATAATGCCCTCCACATCAACATGCCCTATGCAGCCTCTCCAATGACCAGCTGCTTCAGTGCTGGCAGCACAATATGATGGTGCACTTGGAGGAGTGTAAAGCCACACTGAGAGCAGCCCTGAGGGCCAGGAACTTGAGTCAGGGGCTATATAACTGCTCGCCACCCTGGAAACATGGAAGTGAGACGCAGCAACCAGTGAGATTCCTGCTTACCTCCTCTACCCCTAAGGTGAATTGCTCTGTCTCCATGACTGGTAGCAATCCCTCGATCTCCACTAGGCTCTGAGTCTCCACAGCACTTTTTTCTTCCTTAGTAGTGGATATTAGCAGCTGCAAAACAAGCACCATGAGCTCTAGTAAGCTGACTGCTGGTCCAGGTGAGACTGCAACACTGCTGTGGCAGGCTCCACATCTGCTTCCCACCCGCAGCAACTCTTCGCTGAACCCACTGAGATGACTCCTGTGGGCACTTTGACATAGAAGAGAGAACCTAGTCAAGCCAGGAGCAGCCTGACATGGTACCTGGGTGCAAATTTTGTAAGCTCATGCCATCAGCTAAGTGGGGGGTCCAAGCCCATCCTAAGATCAGGCACCACTACCATCCACTCTTGCTACACACAAACTTGCATGAGGAGGTGGATATATGCAGCGTTTACTCATGGCAGAGACATCCCCCCCCCCAAGGGCATTTTGCACCTTCGCACCAGTCTCAGCTCGCTCATTCATGCTGTGTGCATGGATGGGACACAGGCAGCATGACAGCGACAACCTTGAATTTATTCCTGCAGTTGTAGCATTGCTACTTCCTGCATTCTCAGAAGGACACAGATTAACACCGAACAGGGGAAGGCTCCCTTTCTCTTTCTCACTTGACACATCAGCACCTAGCTTGCACCCTACAAGGAAGATCCATGTTAGACACCAGTTTGGGTGATTCTGCGGTAGCCATCTGTTACCATCTGCCGCCTTCGCGACAGCAGCACGCTGACTGCTCGCACTTCAGATGCTGCATGGGGAATGCACCAAGAGCTCCAAACCCAAACCGGTCAGGTTTTCTCTCACAAAAATGGCAATGCAGCTGCCAAAGAGAAGTATTAAAAACAGTAAAATAAGGTCTTAGAAAGTGCTTTGCACGAATCTCCTGTTTCAGATGGTGCTTGAATCTCATCTGATGCACTCATCAGTGCCAGAGAGCTGAGGACATTTTTGAATGGCACCTTTCTGAAAAGGCACCTGAGATATTTTTCTGTCTTGCAGTGACTGAGAGCTGGTTCAGTGGTATTTCACCTCAAAGGTGTCATCTTGCAGAAGGACCTTGTCCCTGGGCTTTTGACTCCTATTTATAAATGAGGGCTTTGTGATTGCTCTTGAAGTCTAAGAGTATGTACTAGGAATCTCTGTGTTTCTTTATTAATGTAAAGAAGTGCTTTGTACTGTGGCCTTGACTTCAGTAGTGTCTGCAAGAATATTCATGGGTCAGCCTTAGACCCATTGCAGGCTAGACCTGCACAATAGACAAGGCACTGGTGAGGGCTAGGTCTTCTCACATTTGCTCTTAGGAGGACGGAACTGCAGAATTTGGCAAACCATGACATACTCTGAAATGTATGTATGTGACACACCACTGAAAGTTTTTGGCCTTATTCAGCAGTTAGGTTTTCATTCTACAGTTAAGTTACAGAGTTTTCAGCTAACGCACCACCACTACTGTTAGCTTTAGTAACACAGGGCTCTGAGAATAGCACTGACAACCTATAGACTCTCTATCTTTTTCCTTAGCATTAACTTACAAGAGGAAACAATACATGGATTATTAAAGGATTATTATCCTTTCCTGACCTACCGGGACCTCTCCAAACTCACAGTCCCTCATGTTCTTCTGTACTGCACACACTCCTTCAGGTTTCACCACCCTTCTGTCATCCCCCAGGTTTTCAAAACTAGCAAAGCTCTGCCAAGTGTATATTCCAAGAGACGTTAACCACACCTTTTCTAGGCTTCTGATCGTCTGTCTCCCCAGAAAGGTTACACAGATAGCACCTTGACACAGTAACATAGACAGCAGAAGAAACAGCAATATAGATGTACCCCTTGAGGCAACTTTGTATCCTACTTAGCCATGTCCAGGTGAATGTCCCTGGTTTCTTTGGGCATACACGGTAACAAAGTAGGAAATAAGGCAGACTTTATGCCTCAGCCCAAAAACATTCGGCTGTACTGTTCTTCACAGCCAGAGTTAAAATGTTAAGACTATCAGTATTTATATGTGAGCAGGTGCAACCCTTCTCCTTGAACTTAATGCTAACAGTAGCATTTCCTGAACCTCTCCTGCTTTGTCGCTTATGCTTTAATGCCCCAGAAACAGTCTCTATCCCAGAGGATGTAGAACAAGGAGCCAGTTCCCACTAACTCCTAGGTCAAGCTCCAAAGCAGTGAGGTTCACAGGGAAGGTCAATAAATCAAAGTGCATTTTCAAAGCCAGGAAGAAGAGCCAGTGACTTTGCAAGGTCTCATTTCATAAAAGCACCTGCCAGCTCTGTGGGGACTCAGACGAAGGCAGAGGTGTGAGAATGGGCAGCTCTGGCTGTGGTTGCGCCAGTGGGCAGTACACAGAGGCCAGCAGCTGGTGTGGCTCTGTGCAGACAGAATGCTGGAAGCCTCATGTGATGTTGCAAAAAAAAACCCCAAACAGTAGAATCTGAGCGGACTCCTCAAAGCAAGCAAAAGTGCCCTATTTTGCCCTTCCCAAGAGTCCAAAGGTGTGGGGCCTCCAGCCCTATTGCCAACCCCGCTCTCCAGGCACAAGACAGCAAGACAGTAAAAAGGGAGGTTGGCTCGAGTGCAGTCCTGCTGTGGCAAGCTAGGGGAGACAACACAGGCGGCAGGCATACAAGAACATTTACCTTCATGTCTGGGGAGTCCTCTGTGCCTGCAGGCTCTTGGACAGGATCCCCCGCTGCCCCTGTGCCATCAGTTTGCTTCTCCACATCCACATTCCTGGAGCTTCTACAGGGAAAGGGAGGACAAGGTGAGGCTGCCAGCCCCCCAGGCTTTGCATTTCCACCCCCACGTGTGTATCTGAAGGAAGGCATCTCTGCTGCTCCCAGGCACGGGACCTGCTCTGGAAACATACCTTTCAGGCCACGGCAGTGCCCCAGAGCCCTCTGCACCCTTCCGACACAGGATTTCAGCACTAACCTCATAGAGCAGTCGTCCTCTGCAGCTGCTGAGCGCTCCATCTGGGCTTCCTTTGGTGGTTGTAGTTTGATGAGAAATGTAGGTTTTGGAGAGCTGAACCTGGAAAACAAAATGAATATGAATGTGGGCCTGCATGAGACCTCCCAGGCATAAGCCCACAGGGCCCCTCTGCAGGACAAGTCCCCTGGAAGGAGCCTGGCAGCTCCAAAACCCAAATGCAGCAGCTAAGCAGAGCACGTTAAGGCTTTGGGCTGCAAAGAGACCCAGTGGAGCCTTGACTGAGAGAAAGCCCCATGTCGTTCATGTGTGCCCACGTGTCAGGTGTACCCTCATGTCACGAGACATCCTTGCAACAGGCAAGGCCACCAATGACATGGAAATCCATGTCAAACAATTCCAGGCAGAGATTCACAATTAACCAGGCCGTTGATCCCTGTAAGTGAGAGCTAAAGCAGCAGCAATCAGCACTGGCTTTAGGAAAGGAAGCTTTGGTCATTTTTGATCAATGGCCTGCAAATCTCATTTGATGAGATTCAACGGCTTGCTGCTCTACAGGTAATCCCTACCTGTGACATCTGCTGTAAAATGACAGCTATAGCATCACCTTTCTTTAAAAGGGCAGCAATTCTGTTACAACAAGGTTATAAACTACATAGCAGTCACTGCTGGTGTGATTACCTCCCTAGGAACTGCACGCAACAGTTCCTGCAAATGCAAATTGTTTGAGGACCAATTTATTAAACGATTCAACAAACCTGTTCAATAGCTCCTTTCATGAAAGCATCCAAGTTTTTGGTTGGGCCAACAACAATCAACAAAAAGTAACATTTAACAGTTTCACGTCTTTCTAGATGACTTAGGAACTTGAGTTCCCAGTTTTACATTGTGCTCACAGTCAGATTTGTAACTCTGCTCCTATTTCTAATATCGCAAGGATGCACCTGGAGGGATATACTCAAACCATGTCTGTCTAGCAGTGACAGTGCCTAATTGCAAGCGTTCCCCATAGTCCAACGTGGCAGATTTTTAAAGGAATCCCTATGCTTACTTCCCAAATGGGAATTAGATGCCTAACTACCTTGACGACATGCTCCCGGCTGACTACTTCTCTTGAGTTTTGTGGCTTGTTAGCTAAGCCTGGTTTTTATTTCCAGATTAGCACTTAGGTGTGCAGCTTTGATGCACACCTAGGCAGGCTGGCTTAACATGCTGCTGGAAGCACTCTGGGAGCAGCCGGCTGACTTTGCAGTGAAGAGGAGGAACAGCATGGAAACAAGCTGCCTAGGGGTGCACAGATTTCAGCTCAGGGCTGGTACAACTTGCCCACGCCCGGAGCTCCTTCAAGTGCTCCAGGCAGTTCGTCCGTGCAGCAGATCAGTGCGTTGCCTCCACAGGTCTGGCTGTCACCGTGATGGCTGTGCCTACACTGCTAGCTGCAAACCATCCTAGCAAGGAGATGAAGCTGTGCCTCTTAGAGCTGCCTGTGATAGACAATGCAGGTTAATAACAGCTCCAGAGGAGAGGCAAAGCCATGAGATGGAAAAATCCATAATCGTTTATTAAATTACCTTTAGTTTCATAGAATGGTTTGAGGCAACTTCATGGGACTACAGTGCCTAGACAATAACAATATTTTTCATTCTAAAGTAGAAGCCCTCTGGGAACTGGTGCTGGGAGATGATGTGATTAGTGAGTCCTCCTGAGGAGACGCACAAAGCACACTGAGTGACTTTTACTAGTGGGGAAAAGTCAAAATGAATAACAAGAAGTGTAACATAAAACAAAGGGAGTGAGACATATGCGCACACCCCCCAGGAATCGAAGGTGTTGATAGAGAGGTGCCTTATTTCTGACTGCCGGGACAATAAAACTCCTTGGCGCTGAAGGCAGGCATGTTGTCTTAGAAAAGCAGAAGGAACAGGAAGGATAAGAGGCGAAGATAACACTAAAGTTACTCATCACGAGCCCAATCTTTAGCCAGTTCTTTTTCAGAAATGAATAGGGACTTTCCGGGCATCCCAGAAGCAGTCGCGAACACAGGAAAGACAGTGAAGGGAAGAAACTGGCTCGTGCACTTGCATGCCTCTGCTGTGGAGAGGACCCACCCCGTCCCCAGAGAGGGGCAGAAGGGTTTGGAGGTGCCTGTCGACGCACCAGCATGGAGATATGGAGCCTCCTGATTTAAGCACATCAGCCTGAAGTTGGAGGGGTTAGAAACTAGGCGTTCACTTCCCTGTGTCCATCTCCTCCAACACTGGTCACTCAACAGCCCCAAGGTTCAACCGGTTACTCAGGCTCCTCACGTTGGACCAGGAGAGAGGAAAACGGGCCTCATGTGAACACAGACCTTGTGCAGCCTAGTGAGATGCAACCTTGCTCTGGCAGTCCAGCACGGCCCTGTGGCCATGGGTTTCAGCTATGGCTGTAGAAAGCCAAAGCTCAGCAAGGTGGACATGAGCCCTTCATCCCTGATGGTACAGCACCCATACCTTCCTTGCGTTGTTAGGGAGCTGAGAGAGAAAAAGCATCCAGAGTAGAGATTTCACAGGCATGAAGGCAGACAGACACCAGGGCAAGAGGCATCCTCCCTGCTAGGCTAAGCTCTGGGATGATTGCGTGCTAGCCACCATTGCCAGCGGTGCTTAGAAAAATCTCAGTTTGCCTCCTGGTTTCTGAGCCTGTTAAGGATACAGCTTCACACTGCCTCCCACACCCTTTCCCCAAAATAGAGGAGCTGGAAATCACGCTGCTTCATAAAACCAAATGTGAAGATTCACACACAATGATGCAAGCCTGCCAGCTCCGGCTGCACAAGAGCAATCGGATGTTGGGATAGGTGCCTGAAAACTGCAGCGCTGCCCCACTAGCCAGCAGCAAATGTGCAGGGCAGAAAGCAATCACCTGTTTCTGCTAAAAGGTAGAGTTGAAATGACTTATAGTCTCAGGTAGTTTTACCAGCTACATCAGTCAATGTCCTACGTCCTGGGAGACGGCAATATTCTGGTTAAAACTTCAAGAGGCTAAAACAGCAAGAGGAGAAGTGCCAGCACTAAACAGACCAGGATGCTACTCTAACAGCTGGGATTTTGGGTTAATCAGCCTCCAATGCCTTATGATATTTTCAGCTCCTGCTCATACAAAATCTGTAAGACTCCACAAGGCTACAAATTTAAACATTAAGGAATGTACACTTTTTTCTGTTTACATGGAAAAAAAAGGAAAGAAAAGAAAAATAAAAGTGGCAATTCTAACGCCCTGAAGATAATTCCTTTGCTAGGGTAAGTTCACAGAATCACAGAATGGTTGAGGTTGGAAGGGACCTCTGGAGATCATCTAGTCCAACCTCCCTGCTCAAGCAGGGTCCTCTACAGCATATTGCCCAGGATTGCGTCCAGGCCAGTTTTGAATATCTCTAGCGAAGGAGACTCCACTACCTCTCTGGGCAACCTCTTCCAGTGCTCTGTCACCCTCACAGTCTAGAAGTTTTTTCTCAGGTTTAGGTGGAACTTCCTGTGGTTCAGTTTCTGCCCGTTGCCTCTTGTCCTGTCGCTGGGCACCACGGAGAAGAGACTGGCCTCATCCTCTTGACACCCCCCCTTCAGATACTTATACATGTTGATCAGATCGCCTCTCAGTCTTCTCTTCTCCAGGCTCAACAGGCCCAGCTCTCGCAGCCTTTCTTCATAGGAGAGATGCTCCAGTCCCCTCATCACCTTCGCAGCCCTCCGCTGGACTCTCTCCAGGAGTGCATGTTTCTCTTGTACTGGGGAGTCAGAATTTACCTCCCTCCACCTGCTGGTAACACTCTTCCTAATGTACCCCAGGATACCCTGGGCCTTCTTGGCCACAAGGGCACACTGCTGGCTCAGGCTTAACTTGTTGTCCATCAGCACTCCCAGGTCCTTCTCAGCAGAGCTGCTTTCCAGCAGGTCAGCCCCAAGCCTGTACTGCTGCATGTAGTTATCACTCCCTAGGTGCAGGACCCTGCACTTGCCTTTGTTGAACTTCATGAGGTTCCTCTCCACCCAGCTCTCCAGCCTGTCCAGGTCCCTCGGCATGGCAGCACAGTCTTCTGGTGCGTCAGCCACTCCCCCCAGTTTAGTATCATCAGCAAACTTGCTGAGGCTGCACTCTGTCCCTTCCTCCAGGGCATTGATGACTACATTGAACAAGACTGGACCCAGGACTGACCCCTGGGGGACTCCACTAGCTACAGGCCTCCACTAGAGACTGTGCCACTGACCACAACCCTCTGAGCTCGGCCATCCAGACAGCTCTCAAGCCACCTCACCGGCCAATCATCTAGACACA